TTTTTCGACGGGAACCACCGAGATTACCCGAGATTGCCCGAGATTGCCCGAGAATAGGCGCAGTGGCGAGCACCTCCTCGACGGCCTCGCGCCGGAAGATTGCCGTCTGGTGGAGCGCCTAATCTCGGTGAACCTCGGTGAACCTCGGGTCATCTCGGGTCAACGAGGTGGTGCCCGTCTGGTGGAGCGCCGGGATCTCGACGAACCGCCCCGCCGCCATCTGCTCGGGCGAGAGGAGAGAGTTTTGCCTGCGTCATGACCGCACGACCCAAGGTCAGGTCGCAGCGGCGCCGCAAGCGCCCGCCCCGGCGGTTCACTCGCAGGTCGGAGAAGAAGGGACGGTGCAACAAGGTACGGTGCCGTGTCGTCAGGGCACCGCGTGGATGGAAGGGCTGCGAGTACAGGGACTGAGGCGGAGCACGGTCGAGTTGGCCTCTCGAATGCTAGTCGGCATACAAGCAGTCTGTATCCGCATCTCGGGGGCCTTGCCACGCGACGTACTGCTCCATGCCCGGCCTCGGCCACCCAACCAGCTCTGCCTGGCAGCTGACGGCATCCCACGTAGGCTGGGCCTGCAGCGCGGCCAGCATCCGCGCGAACGCGTCCGCCGGCCGCCGCTCGTCGTCCGACTCCATCTGCGCGAGGAGAGGCGCGCGGGCATGCGCCAGCGCGAGCGACATGGCGGCGCCTTGCCCGCGGTTGGCACCGTCGCGGTAGCGCAGCACGCGCAGCCGGTGCTCGGGGCGGCTCGCGGCGGCGACCTCAGCCGCGCTCAGCGGCCGCTGGTCCACTCCCGGCTGCGCCGCGTCGAACGACGGGTGGTCCTCCGTCTCGGGCGCTCGCAGCGGCTGCAGCAGCGCGGGGTTCGAGGCGGGCGCGGCGCCGCCAGCGGTGGAGAGCTCGTCGGTCGCGCGCGCGCCGAGCTCGTTGGCGAGGGCGAGGAGGAAGCCGAGCGAGCCGTCGTCACCGCCGTCAAAGGCTGCGAGGACCTCGAGGCTCGCACCGCCAGGAAGCTGCTGCTTGAGCATGTCCCGGAGCGCGACCGTCAGCCACGGCATCGCATTGTACACCGGGAGGATGACGCTCAGCGCGACTCGTGGGGGTTCGGAACTCATGTATGTACACCGCGCATATCGTAGGGAGGCGACGCTGGGCGGGGGCCCCAAGCGTTGAATTCTTTTGCGTACGTACGTCTGCAATCAGTCTTCGCGTGCCGCCTGTCGTTCGCTCGGGCGCCTTGGGCGTCGGGGTGGCGAGCAGGGGACGCAGCTCTGAGCGACGCGTGCCGGATGGAGTCCGGCCGCGGGTGACTAGGGAAGTTCGCTCAGGATGTGTGGCAGCCGCCCCGTTGGCTGAGTGTCTTGTCTTGTGGTTCTGTGTGTCGCTCCTGTGTGACCGTCATCGCCCGTCCTGCGTCCACCCATACCGCGTTGGTGTCCCAGTCGTTGGTCGGACTGTGTTGGTGAACCTTCTTTTCTAGACCGGAAGGATTGAGAGCAGCCTCGCTCTCAATCCTAGAAGTCGAAGGATTGTGAGCAGCACTCCTCGCAATCGTAGCATCTCTGTGCGATTGCTAGCACCCACGCTCGCAATCCTACATCTTCTAGGACTAAGAGCAGCTCCGCTCCCAAGGTGACTGGTGACGCCTACGACTACTACCAGCGCGCTCGCAATCCGAGCAAAGTCTAGGATTGCGAGCAGCACTGCTCGCAATCCTAGCAACATGCCTCCGATTGCGAGCAGTAGCGCTCGCAATCCTACATCTTGTAGGACTATGAGCGGCGGCGCTCACAATCGTACCCAAGATCCGAGGATTGCTAGCAGCTGCCCTCATAGTTGCAGACTAAGTCTCGAATATGGCTCGTAGCTTAGTTAGGCTCAAATAGACGAAAACAAACGTGGTGATGATGGACGCTTATTTGCTTGCATAGATAGCCATTAATTAAATACAGTCAGTGATGTATCACGGTGCCGCCAATACGCGCCAATGGATTCGGAGTACCGGTCTTGGCAACCTCCGCTGTTGTTGTTGAAGGCAAGGTGTCGTCTGCATTCACTCCCCCAGCCTCTCGCTCTCATGCATGGAGCATGCGTTTGGTGGATGGTAAAGGCCCCATCGCATAGGCCTGGGTGCTGGAAAAGGCGCGCAGGCGGCGCTCGCAGGTTGTCGCAAGTTCTTGGCTAGCTTGTTGATTTGTTATTGAGTTTGTGGGGGGGCGTGAACATCTTAAGTTATAATCCTAGCTTGCCAGGAAAAGGGTTGTTTATTTGTTTGACCTGCTCGCCTGTGCCGAATTACTCGCGCGAGGCATATGGATACCTCAGCTAGTGCTTGGGCACGAACGCCAGCGCGGCATGGAGACCTCAGTATGCCGTTCCGGTCGCGGCGCGGGCGGCGGGCACGAACGCCAGCGCCGTGGGCTGCACCAGTCCAATGGAGGGGCGCGTGCCGGTCGCCGGGTCCATGTACGCTTCGTACCGCAGCGCACCTGTATGGGGCGTGTCGTGTGACACGGACATGCCCACAGGACGAAAGGCGTGCCTTCGGGTGCCGCAGCGAGAGCTCCGTAGGCGCCTTCGAGCAGCTCGCGCGGCGGGCGCAAGCAGTACGGCTGCGCGGCGGCGGCGGCGGGGGCCTTGCAGTCGAGTGCGAAGGCGAAGGCGAAGAGGCGCGGCTCGGCTCGACCGAGGAAGTGGCTGGCGGAGCCGCGGAGCCGCTCCGGCGTGACGGCGACGGCGGTGCCTGCCCGAGGCCGCAGGAGAGGGAGCGAATCACAGGGGAAGGAGGCTAGGAGGGAGAGGGGGCCCCTTCCATTCATTCGGGGACCGTGTGCCGGCTCGACCCCGCTAAGCGGTGCCTGCGAGCAGGTCTGCGGAGGCGGCGTTGCCCATCGCGACGTGGTCCACGCCTGTCATGGATCCGGGGACGCAAGGTCAGGTGCGGTGAGAGGTGGTGTCTGAGCTCTGCTCACCGATCGCCACGACGAGCGGCGTCGCGGCACTCACCGGCAGGTTGCGGTCGGAGAGGGAGTAGCGCGCCTGCTCTCAAATGGCGCGGGCGGCATATGAGGCAGCGTGATGAATGGAGCTGCGCGCCCCTCGGGCCGCCAATGGGCTAACCCTCGCGGGCCTGGCCATGGGTTGGGAGTGCGTCGAAGCGCGTCCACAATGGAGCGTCCGAGGGACAGCGTCGAGGTGCAGAGCCGAGGATGGCTTCACCATATCGCGCTCAGCTTCTCTCGGCGCGATGTCGCACGGGCCTCCCGCGCAGCTGCATCTCGGCCATCTCTCGCTCTCGGCTGGATCTCGGCTGGATCTCGGCTATCTCTCGCGCGTCGGAGACGGTGCCGAGGCAGCCGCCGCGGGGGTGCAGCCGCCACGGCGCGTAGCGTGGGTCGGTGAGGCATCGCCACTTGTCGAGCTCGACCGCGGTGAAGCCGACCTGCGATTGGCAAGCGGGCACGGCCAGTCACCCACTGAGGTGCTACTCCCCAGCCCCGACGTTGGTGAAGCCGACGCGACCTCGGCCGCCAGCGTGAGGTTGGCGGCGGCAGCCATTCGAACGACTGCGGCGCGCAGCTCCACCAGTGGGGCCGCCATGCCGGCCTAGGGGGGAGGGAGCAACCTGCATGCAAACGATCGGACCCGGCACCCCGCCCAAGGCCAAGCATGCCCGCCTCGTTGCCAAGGCCCGTCGCCGCGCGCGGCTCCGTGGCCGGCGGCAACGGGCGGAACAGAGCAGCGGCACGAGGCGAGACGCGCATCACGGGGAAACGATTCGCGACGTACTCGCGCACCGCCCGCGCGTTCGTGTCGCGCACCTACTCGCGGCTGGCGGCGCGAATCGACGCCGGCACGCGCACGATCTCCGCCCGCGATCGCGCGTCTGCGCGCGTGCACACGCAGCAGCGACTGAAAGAGGTCGGGCCGTTCGACGAGCGGCTCGAAGGGAGAACCGCGCGCAAAGTGGAGGGTGGTGTTCGTGCCTATAGAGCAAACTCGCACACGGGTAGATGCGATGGACAGACCTGTCCCTACCAGATACGGTGTGTGCGCGTGTGTGTGTGTGTGTGCGTGTGTCTAGGAGGAACTCAGATCTCAGTCAGAACGGCGTGTGCAAAGCGAGTTGGATATGCGTGCCGTTCAGCGTGACGACGCGGACATCCGTCTGCGCGGGCGCAACGCGCTCCATGGCGGAGGCAACCGCTGCGGCGGTGGCGGCGTCCGCCGTCGTGACCAAGATCAGGCTCCGGTTGAAGGGAGAGAAGCCGGTGTCCCCAGCTTTCCGGTGGTCCGACGTTAGTGTCGCCGCATTGATCAACGTGCTGATCGGCGCGCCCTGCCCTTGGTTCCACTCCATCACTGGCCACGAGAGCCGCTCCGACACGTACGTTTCCCACGAAAAGTAGGTGGACTCCCGCTCCGGCGGAGTGCAGAGCATCGAAACCACCGCGTCGCGGGACTTCAACGCATACTGCCCGTCCCGCATGTAATGTTTCCGAGAGTGCGTGTCGCCCTCTCCCCACGGCCCGAGGAGCGCCTGTGCGTACAGCGACGACGGGTTCGCTCCGGCCGCCGACATGTTTGACGAGAAGCCGAGCTCGAACGGGCCTCCAGTCCCGGTCCGTGCGATTTCAAAAGCCGCCTCGAGAAGCGGCGTGGCGGCATCGAACGTGGCCGAGTGCCTTGTCGGGTCGCAGCCGTGTGCGAAGAGAGTCAGCATTGGAGGAAGGGTGGAGGCGAGGGATGGAGGCGGAGGCTGACAGTGGGATGAAGGCGGACAAGGTGACCTCTATTGTAAAGTTATTTTTTTAATTTTTTTCTTTTTGAGAGCGCCTTCGTTGTTAATAGTACAAACCCAATGATCCTCTGCGAGCGGTCCTTCGTTGCAGTCGCACACACGCACACGCCACGCCGCACTTTCCTATTTCCACACGACACTGGGCACGGGACAGGCGCGCACTGGCACTAACACAGGTTAAAGTAGAAAACATATACCGCAAAGAGATATCCCACTGCTGCTCCAGTGGTTTTTTCATACTCATGCCTCAGTCGAAGACACAACGACCCCTGGAATTGCGACTGTGTGATTATAGAGGGAGACGCGAGAGCGGCCGCCAGCTTGGCGTGCCAGCGGAAGCGGCGAGGCCACAAGGGCGGCCGAGAGCGGCGAGAGGAGGGCGAGCGAAGCGCCGCCATCGATGTCCTCACGTGTCTGAATCCGGGAGTGGAATTTTGGGTGGAACATTCTCGGCTGTCTTTTCTTTCTTTCTTTCTGGTTGGTCCCTTGGAGTGTCTGTTTTCTTTCTTTCTCTTTGTTTGGATTTCTTCAGAAAGAAAATTACATCGCTTTCTTCCACCACTGGCACTGCTTGACCTTGAGGTCCAAACATGGCACCACTCAGCCGTCAGCCCTACTCGCTCACATGCTCACCGCACCGCCCCCCCATCGAGCCGCCCCGCGCGAGCTGGCTTCAACAAGCTCCTGTAGTGCATCTACGCCGCTAAACGCCCGGCCGTACAGAGCCCCCGATACCTCACCGCCCCAGCTCCCACGCCTCGACCTTCTTCGGCAGCAGCTGGTTCGAAAAGTCCTCTCCGTGGCCCAGGCAGCCGCGATTGCCCTGGCCCCACGCGAAGAGGGCTCCGTCGGCGGTGCGGGCGAGGCTGTGGCGCTCTCCAGCGGACACAACGACGACGCGCTGCCCAGTGAAGGCCTCGATCTTCTTTGGCAGCAGCTGGCGCTGCTCGTCGCCGTGGCCCACCTGGCCTAAATATCCACTGCCCCAGCTCCAGACGGCGCCGTCGGCGGTGATGGCGAGGCTGTGGTAGAGTCCAGCCGACACAGCGACGACGCGCTGGTTAGCCAAGGCCTCAATCTTCTTAGGCAGCAGCTGGTTCTGCTCGTCGCCGTGGCCCAGCCGGCCAAAGGCTCCATTGCCCCAGCTCCAGATGCTGCCGTCGGCGGTGAGGGCGAGGCTGTGACCATCTCCAGCCGAGACAGCGACGACGCGCTGGCCAGCAAAGGTCTCGAGCTTCTTGGGCAGCAGCTGGTCCTGCTGGTCGCCGTGGCCACCGCCCCAGCTCCAGAGGGCGCCGTCGGCGGTGGTGGCGAAGCTGTGGCTGCCTCCAACCGACGCGGCGACGACGCGCTGTCCAGCAAAGGCCTCGAGCTTCTTGGGCTGCCACTGCTCCTGCGAATCGCCGTGGCCTAGCCTGCCAGAGGCTCCACTGCCCCAGCTCCAGATGCTGCCGCCGGCGGTGAGGGCGAGGCTGTGGTATCCTCCAGCCGACACGCTCACGGCGCGCTCGCCGCCCAGCGGAGAAGGGAGGCGTGTCGGCGCGTTGAGCCGCGTCACGCCCTCGCCGTGGCCAAGGAGGCATGGGATGTGATCCGGCGCAGAGCCACACGAAGAGAGCCGCCCCTCGCCGTCAATGAAGACGCTGTGCCGTTCGCCTGCGGCCACCCTCGCCGGCGGGTTGGACTCGCTCAGCAGCGCAGAATAGCACAGCCACCGCACAGCGCAGCTCTCACCCTCTGGCTGCGCCGGCAGCTCGAAGCCGCGCCCTTGCGCCCACAAGCGGATGCCCTGCTCCGCGAGCGAGTGAAAGAGGTGGGAGACGGCCGCGACGCGAGCGGTGTCGACGGGGCTGTCGCAGCGAGAGAGGGCGCGCTCGAGGAGCTCCCTGGGGAGATCGAGCAAGCGGACGGGCGGCGGCGTGTCTGGCGAGGGCGTGGCGGTGGAGGCGGAGGCGAGGCGGCGCGAGCTGCGGCGCGGCGGGGTGGACATCGCGAGGAAAAGAATTTGGCTTGCCACGCTTGGAGCGGGATTTTGTCGTGCCAGCGTCTGTGAGAAGGCGCGATTGGATTTTGTGAGAGAGGCTTGTATCTTAAGAATTCTCACTTCCACGCTCACCCTCCACAATGACCTTGAGCTTTGTGCTGGATCAATCTTTCCTGCCTTTTCTTCTCCAGTCATCTTGTCCCGCGTCCAAATACATATCGTTTGTCAAGCCCGGACTGCACCAGCGCGGTGTCGGAGGATTGTTTTGACCAGTACTCACCCCCAGCATGAGCATGCTAGCCTCTCAGTACATGCACTCTCTCTTCCTCACCCCGCCCCCTTCCCATTCCGCAGCCTCGAGTCCGGAGCCCACCACCCATGCCACCACCACGCCTCTCGCGCTTTGCAGCACTCTGCCTCGCTGTGGCGCGCCGGCAGTGCTAACATGCTAATCCGCATCCCGCTGTTGCTCTGCTGCAGCCTCCAGTCGCGGTGCGGCCTCCGCACTCTCGGCGTTCGCCTCTCGCCCTGCTGCAGCATCCGTGCCCATCTCTGGCAGCCGTTCGCCGAGCGCCTCCTCAAAGCATGCGAGAACCTCGTCGCTCTGAAGGCAAGTCACGAGGACGTCGTCAACCGCGCGGAGGCTCCCCCGCAGGGCCGCCGTCCGTCGGTCAAGGTCTCGTATTTGTTCTGGCAGCGTCGGCGCCGGCCTGCTCCCACGCTGGCCACGCACAGCATGCTGCGCTTCGCGAGCAATCGCGTAACGGGAGGCTCGCTGGCTTTTTGTGGCTTTTTGGACGGCTTTTTTGGATTCTCCCGCCCTCCCACTCCTCTCTTGGATTTTTTCTTTCTTTTCTGGGGGGGCGGGCCCTAAATAAAAGAAACACGCGGAATTTCGGCGTATTTGTGGGCACCAAGTTGGCTCATCAAAGCCACAGAGTGATGGCTGGCAGGACTGGCTTCGACATCGACGGCATCCGCGAGGACAGCAGCGACGAGGAGAACGAAGACGTGTGGGACGCGCATCAGGTCCCGCTGCCAGCGGCGATTCTCGTTCCACGAGCGACTCTTGCTCCGCTAGTGTGTGCGCCTCTCTCACCACGACCCTCTCACTCATGCCTTCAGATCGTCTCTGGGCTGTTCCTCGGCGGCATGCGACCTGTGCGATCCCGCCTTTCCCCGAGAGGGTGAAACCTCATGCGCGGCGATGTCATACCGACATGCCTAGCGGCGGGGGCTCCAGCACCTCCGGCACCGGCAAGACGCAGAGCCACACACGAAGCAACGCGGACGGGCTCGAGCGGAAGCGGAAGCGCCACCGGCCGTCGAAGCGCCGCGCATCGAGAACGGCGCGGAAGAAGATGAGGATGCAGAAGAGGCAGTGCAGGCCGTACGCGGCGCCGAGGTGCCAAAAGGCGTGGCCGATGGCACGAAAGCCGTCGGGCATGGCGTCGCAGCCCTGCTCGACGAGGTTCCAGCAGACGAAGCCGAAGAGATACGACGCCACCCCGACCCAGAGGTACACGCGTGCCGCGCCCAGCAGCGCCCATTCGGAAGCAGGCGCAGGCGAGTCCTTCTGGTCGCCGCTGGAAAGCCCCCCCGACTCGTCCGATGTGGCGGTCGAGACCAGGTGCGAGCCCGTGGGGTGGATCATGTGCGGCATGCCGCAGTGTAGCATCGCCGCCGCGGTGAGCACCATCGAGAGGATCGGTAGGTTGAAGAATAGCACAAAGACCTGTCCGCCGGGGATCACAAGCAGCCCGTTAAACGGCGTGACCCTTGTCATGCCGAGCGGCGTCATGACCGCGCAGACGAGCAGCCAGACGCACCCGATGCAGACGGTGCGTAGCGACGGCCCGGCGGACGCGCAGCACGAGCACCAACGTGGCCACACGAGCTCGACCAGCGTCTCGAACCACAGAGCAGCACCAAGATTCACCGCTAGGATCATGCTCGCGCCATCCCAGAAGGCGAAGTAGACGTTGTGGGTGATGTGATTCATCATCGATGTGATGCCGTTGAGCAGGATCAGGATGTTCAGATAGCGGGCCACCGGGATCGAGTGTCTGGCGGTGAACAGCTCGTACCCACCGAGAAAAATGATGAATGCCGCCGTCGCCGCCGCACCTGGCTCAAGCTTGCCGGGACGCTCGCCCACGAATGGCGGCTCTTCGGGCCATGGGCCGGTGCGGTTTGAGAGCGCCAAGACGGACTCGCAGAAGCCGCCCGAGCGGGTCGAACGCAGCCATTCAGTGCCGGTTCTGTTCATCGCCCTGGCGGGTCGGTGGTTAGGGCGTCTCGCGAGGAGCTGTGGCACAGCAAAGCCGATGGACTCCAAAGCGAGCGCCCCGGTGGGTCTTCTTTTTCTTCCTCGATCTCGAGGTTCTCGAGGTGGATATCCTTTGGCCGCGTTGGGTAGCGAGGATTGGTGTAACCCGAGCCACGGAGGCGTGTTTTCTGGCGGCCGACCGTCAGTGCACGGAGTTGCCACTTCTCTTCCTATTGGAGAGCCTTTTTTCGCGGCACGGCACTTCATGCGGAGGCCTTGGCCGCTTTGTGTATCTCGAGACCTCGAGCCGCCCACTTTCTTTTCGCGGGCAATGCATCGCTGAGCAGGAGAGTGTACATCGAGGCACACGCACGCACTCCCGAGATGACGGACCGCCTCTCCCCACACGCGTACGTGCTGGCCTTTGTCGTCACACATCTTTGTTGTTTGGCGTCAGCAGCGAAGGCAAAAACGACCGCACCCCTCGGTCGCTTTCTTGTCGGCGTGCCCCCCGTGTAGCCTGGCGTTTCCGTCTCCCCTTCCCCGAGTTCAATTTGTATCTACCATTTTTTTGCGTGCTTTTATTAAAGAACAGAAAGTAAATAAAGATCCAAAAAGAAAGAATTTAAACAACAGAACTCTCTCTCACAGCACACAGGCTCGACACAGGTGCGAACTGGCGCGTGCTAGTACTATCACCGGCACACCACCGGAGCCGCCTAAGCGACTCCGTTAAGAACGGCAATGCACTTAGCACCGTGCACAATGCCGCTGTCCCCGCACGCTAGCTCGTTCACCGTCTGCCACGCCACGGCGGTGTGGAGGACGACAGACAAACGCTGCATCTGCAGCCCGTGCCAGTTCTTGGAAAAGAAAGAAAGAAAGCAGACAAGCCAAGGGAGGGATGGGAATAAAGATCCAGAAAGAAAGAAAGAAAACAGACAACCCAAGGGAGGGATGGGAGGACGGCACGCCGCCACCACACAGGGATTTTAAGGAGAGGTGTGTGGTGCGCTAGCCGTCGCCCACCCTAGGGAGTCTGCCTCTTCCTATCTCTCTTCGCAGGGGAGACCGCGACACCGGTGACGGAGCGCAGTTGGGAGTGTCTTCGGCTCACGCCAGGGCGCTCGTTGCTCCTCCGTCTCTTTGTATCTTCCATACTGCGTTTATCAGAAGACGTATGGTTCTTGCACTTGTGCAAGATTGGGCGTCTTCTGCCGCAGTCCCTTTGATGGGAGGCCCCAGGGTGGGGGCCACCTCGAACCCCGGCCAGGGATTCGAGCGGAGGGTGCCCCGGATTCATCTATCCGTTGGGCCCCGGCACCTATTTTAGAACTGATCACTTTGCGCAGCAACCGTCGGCCGCCGCTTTTTAGCTGGACGGCGGTACGCTGCGCCGTCGCTCTGTCGTGCACGCTCTCGTGCCTCGTTGTTGTGACCCACCCTGTCCCACCCGTGTGTGATCAGTGTCTACGGAGGGAGTGTCTTCGGCTCACGCCAGGGCGCTCGTTGCTCCTCCGTCTCTTTGTATCTTCCATACTGCGTTTATCAGAAGACCGCCCCACTCTCGTCGTTCTCTCCCTTGTCACTTCCTCCTCTGTCGCGTCGTTCTCGGAATAAAGATCCAAGGACGAGGGGGGAAATTCTTTTCGACGTTCGCACCTGTGTCGAGCCTGTGTGCTGTGAGAGAGAGTTGTTTTGTTTAAATTCTTTTCGACTACTTTTAACGGGTGCCGCGCTGCGGCCCGCCGACGCCGCGGTTGAATTTGCGGCCCGCAGCCGCGCAGGGAGAGCAATCACGACTTCTGAAGACCGCCTCGTGCCGGGGAGGAAGATGTCTGCCCACAAGAGCGCGCCGAGTGGTCTCGTGGCCTACAACTCCCTCAACGAGGAGTCACCGACAGCGTCCGAGCGGCCGCTGTCAGTGCGCTCACGGACAAAGCTGACAGTGGTGCACCCCCCTGTCGTGATCAAGAGCGTAGACGAGGAGGGCAACGCGATCCCGCCGTCCACCATCAAGGGTTCCATCAAGATGCTCACCGGCAACAAGCTCTACTATGGCCTCATCTTGGTGCCATTTGCGTGCTTCACACAAGAATTGGGGCTGGATGACGCGCAGACCTTCATCCTCGCTGCCGCCGCGATCCTTCCTCTGGCGGGATTGCTCGGCGAGGCGACCGAGCAGGTAGCCTTCCACACCAATGAGACGGTTGGGGGCTTGCTCAATGCCACCTTTGGCAACGCGACTGAGCTGATCGTGTGCTATTTTGCGCTCCAGCGAGGCTTGCTGCTGGTGGTGCAGGTGTCGCTGCTCGGATCAATCCTGTCAAACACGCTGCTGGTACTCGGCTGCTCCATGGTCGCCGCTGGCATCCGCCAGATGCAGTCCAAGTTCAATCTGGTCGCCGCGCAGTCCAACACGACCTTGCTGCAGATCGCCATCCTCGGCCTTGTCGTGCCGACGGCGATGGAGTCGACGGGACAGTTCGCGGAGCACTCGCCGAACGACCTGACGCTCGCACGAGGCATCTCAATCGTCCTGCTCATACTCTACGTGCTCTACGTCTATTTTCAGGCGCGGCCTTCCATCCTCCCTCGCCCTGCGCCGTCACCAACTAACCCTCCCGCCCGTCCTTCTCTCGTGGCGCAGCTCTTTTCGCACGCGGCGCTGTTTGAGGACACGTCCGGCGAGGACGAGGACGAGGAGCCGGAGGAGGCGCGTCGCCTTTGTGTGTCCCTCAGTCCAAGCCGCCTTCTTCAGGCCCGGCTCATCCTCCGCTCCGCTGCCACGGCAGGTGCTGCTACCGATGAGCGGGGCGATCGCGTGGCTGGCCTTCGCAACAGTGCTGATCGCCTTTCTCTCCGAGAAGCTCACCGGCGCTATCGAAGGCACCACTGCGACATATGGCATTTCTGAGACCTTTGTAAGTTTCGTCATCATCCCCATCGTCGGCAATGCAGCGGAGCACTCGACTGCCATCGTCATGGCCTGGAAGGGCAAGATGGATCTCGCCTTTGGAGTCGCGCTCGGCTCGTCGACGCAGATCGCACTCTTCGTCGTCCCGCTCATGGTGATAATTGGCTGGGCCATTGACCAGCCATTGACCCTAGTCTTTGGCGTGTACGAGACGATAATCACCTTTCTTTCCGTGCTCATCGTCTCGCACATCGTTAGTGACGGCGAGACCAACTGGTTGGAAGGCACGATGCTGCTCTTCACCTATTTCATTATCTGCTTCGCCTTCTTCTTCTATCATCACCAAGAGGCGCTTCCCGATGACCACCCCATGAAGCACGCCTAGACGCCCTCCGGGGCGTTCGTAATGGCCGCCGGAGGGGCTGACCAAAAAGCTCAGTGCAGGCCTGCAGCAGGGCCGAACAGCAGGCTGGCGAGCAAGGGGGCCTTGATCACTCTGTAAACGCCGTGGAGGGAGCAGGGAGGAGAGTGAGAGTCCATTGAACAAGCAGCCATGCGAGTCATTTGGGAGGGGAGGAGGTTTATGGGCGGGGGGGGGGGGGGAGGCGCAACAGTGACGCTCGACGACGCACACGTCGGGGCGTTCGTCGGGCTCGGGGCACCCCACGTCCCCGAGTCCGCAGTCGTCGCACGGGCGCCGGCGCATGGGCAGTCGGCACGCAGCTTGCACTGCGGCAGGTGCACCGCAATCGCACCTCAAAGCAGGCAGCACATATCAGAAAATATGTCATTTTAACAGTGTAGCTCTCCACCTTACTTTACACAGTGCCACAACGTCAAGTCTCCCGCCAGTGTCAGAGTGTGTGATCGCGCACAAGAAGACCGTCGGCCGCCGGCCCGGCAAAAAGCACAAGCGCGAGAGAGCACGCGATCGCGTGCGACGACCTCCCCCCACCCGCCCCGCCCCGCCCCGCCCCCTTCCCCCTTCCCCCCATCCCAAACGAGCCCATGCAAGTCTGCTCGGGAGCGCCCTTTTTTTGACTGATCGCGCGAAGTGTTGGTCCTTGGTGTATGCAGCGGAGCCGTGGACGCCGAAACCGCCGGAGCCTCCCTTCAGGCTCTCAGGCGTGGGGCGGGCCATGCACCTGGGCGGGGGCGGCGGGTCGGGCGCGCGCGTGAGGGGGGGGGGGGCGAGGGGGCGG